ATAACAAAAACATTTTTAATAATTAAAATATATATAAAAAATTATTTATTTGAGTAAATAGAAATATTTTCATGATAAAAATATATAAATAAAATAATTTTAAATAATTCAAATATGGCAAAAATATGAAGAAAAGTGATGAAAATAATGACTTGCCACTGCAAAGCATGCCACTCCACTCACGTGCCACTCGTTGACTGGACTGTTTTTTATTGGTTGACATGCTCCACGTCAGCGTGTGGCATTCAATCTTTGCCTCACCATTGTTCATGCTCTTAAAAAAGGGAGCACGGCTATTATGTACTCCGTATTTCAAAAATACTAATATGCCCTTATGAACTAATCTATCCCTACATTGACGCGCTATTATTATTACTTCCCTTTTTTATTGTTTTTGAATTGCCACATCCATACTAAATAATAGCCATCGAATACATCTAATCCAAGGGATGCGTTTCATTCTTATTTCTTTCATTGAGCTCTATTCTCACTCGAACTGCTATATATATATATATATATATATATATATATATATATATATATTTTATAAATATATATATTATTAAAAGATAAAAAATACAAGAGGAGGGGGTGGCCGTCCCCAACAACAAGGCCAAAATCAAAGAAGTAAAGGGTACTAGAAAAGGAACCAAAGCACTAGAAAACAAGGAGTAAGGAGATAGCTACATGACACACCGAAACATTGTTTGTCAATATTCTCTTGGAGTTAATTTCAAATAATGGCCTGCTGGAATGCACAGTCTGCAGGAGATTCCTTCACTACTTAGAGAGAGGTGCTGTAGATTATCCAATTCTTGAGCTAAGAAGACTCTGGCCTACCATCTAGACTTATCGCCCTATATTCCTTTGCAAGTTGAACACTAAGCAGCTCTGCAGCTCTCAATGCCTGACTAGATTCAAAACAATTCCAATAAAATGAAATCCCTTCATCGAAGCTAGCCATACCAGCCAGTTTAACTAGGAACAACCGTGAGGGGGAACAAAGTAGCAAAGTAAGGGATATCTAGACCATCTAAGTTGCAGGCCTTCAAACATCTTCGAAGGCCCTGCCCATAAGGATACCAATGAGTCCTCTTTAAAGCTTGTTGTCTAACAACAACTGCATCCAATCCTCTGAGTTCCTTGCATAGAGGGTGTACAAGAGACAGAGTCTAAAGTTCTCTGGCCTTGGATGATCTAGATTTTGATGATAGCTAATATAAATAGTGAAAGAGGATGCGCTTGAACCTGTTAGCCAATACTTAGCCAAAACTGAATCACCAAATCTGCTGCTCCAAATCAGCATATAATCAATGGAGAAAATCATCCTCGTCATCCTCATAATCTGTTGCCATACTCTTTTTTAGTCTTTTCTTTGCTTTCTTCTTTTGACTTTTTGTCAAAGGTTTGTTGGCTTTCTTGGGACACACCTCTTTTTTGTTTGGGCAGCAAAGTCTAAAGCATTTGATGACTTCCTCTTCGAACGAATCTTGGGACTCTGACTCCTCCCAAAGCAGTGGAGTTAATTTCCTACCTTCTGCAAGAATTTTTGCTTTGCTTCTAGTAACTATTTGTGAAGGTGAAAATGTTCGGGTGCCCCTAAGTTCCTTGCGTAGGCTTAAGGGTTATTTGAAGCATCTTGAGAAGTCAACTTGCAAGGGCCTAAGCTTGGAGTCTATGAATGCTCTATCCTCTCCGTCAGAGTGAGTATAGAGTATAGGTCCATCCCTTTCCTCTATAAGGTCCTCCACTGCATTCAAACTATGTACTAGGCTCCTGTCATGGATCTTTGAAAATGGATCCAGATGTTCGTTGACTTTGTTTTCAATTCCATGCCCTTGAGAGAAAAGTGCTGCAAAGGTACTTTTCAACACAGGTATGAAGGGTGGAGCAAAAGGGGACATTGTACTACTAGGCAGGGGAGGGAAGTGGGTTCCTCCCTGGGTGGCATCCAAATGGCTCTCACATTCAAGAGAAATAGTGTCTTTGTAATCACCTTTGATTTGCAAATCAGCCTCAATCAACCCATAATGTTCTGCACTACCAGATTGATATTTTTCTAATTGTAACTCGGGTGTTTCAACTCCCAATGTATCCAATTGGGGAGGATTTAGTGAAAGGTGCTCAGTTATCGTTGCTGTTGGTAAGATCTGAGATTGTACTGAAGTTTGAGCAATTATGGTTGTGGCAGGAGCAATCTCAAGAGTTTTAGTTGTAGCAGCCTTGGTGACCTTATCAATGAAAGAAGACACAGCCTTGAAGAACAGAATCAAATCAGTATTCTTAGGTCTTGAGGGGATTAAGATATATCTTTTCCCTTCCTTTCTTTTCTCTTGAATTTTTACAAATTCACCCCTTCTGTTTGAACCAGCTGCTAGCTCTATGGTACGGTTATCACCAAACGAAAAGAGAGCCCAAGCTCTGTTTACAGATATCCTTGGAAGAGATTCTAGAATCCATCTTAATGTATCCAAATCGAACCAGAGATGAAATCTTTTATATCCACACTCAGTTATGCAAAAGTTTTTATTATAATACGAGTGGAATAGCTCAAATACCTTAGTTTGGGTTCGGAATGTAAATCTGTGATTGCGGCTTGATTTTGTAGCTGAAGATTGCTCCTTACCGCCCAAGGTGACCATACGAGAGTGGCTGAAGACATAGGAATCCACCAACGCTTTAGAGTCCGGGGATCTGAATGGCCATCTTCGTTTCTTACCCTTGTTGCGGTGGATCCAGTGATTATTATAATCTGTAAATCTTGCCTTTTCAGGAGCTTGTGTGGATGGTCGTTGATTTGGATAGAAGGAGCATCGCGTAGAACAGCCATAGTTTCTGGAATTAGGTTTCCGGGAAGTGTGATCGTAAAAATCTCGCTGGCGGGGATCGCTGCTCCTTCTTCTCTCTAAACGCTTCATCTCTCCTTATATATATATATATATATATATATATATATATATATATATATATATATATATATATATATATATATATATATATATATATATATATGATTTGTTTTCGTTGCAGAAAAGCTATATATATCAAACATGCAGACCAGCCGACTTTTTTCTGAGGTGGTAGCTTCAGGCCTTGATCAACCTCTACAAGCTAAGAGTCTTGGCCTTTACAAAGGCATACCTACAGTTTCTTTTCCCAAGGAGGACATTCTGCTTCTTTGCAACCGCTTCAAGTTGGCGGTGATTGGGAGCTTTTTGAGCAGGCCTCCTTTTCCAACGATGGAGGCATTCCTAAACAGGCTCGGTCTCAAAGGCAAGTTCTCCCTATCCATTCTCTCCACTACAAAATTTTTGATCAACTTTGAAGCTGAGGAAGACTACATTTGCGTCCTATGTCGTAAGACATGGGATATACATGGCCGGCTGATGAGAGTCACCAAATGGAGCCCTGGCCTCTCCCCGGAGATTGATAATCCTGTTGTTCCGGTGTGGATTTCCATACCAGACCTACCTATACATCTTCATGATATGAGGGCTCTCAAACTCATCCTCTCTCATCTTGGCAACCCCATTATGGTGGATCTCAGCACCAAAAATTTCTCTCGTCCCTCTCTTGCCAGGGTCTGTGTGGAGATGGATGTCTCTAACCTTCCGGTTCCTAAGGTCCTCATCATTCATGGTCAAGAGGAATTGATCTTCCCAATCCTTTTTGAAAACCCACCGGAATATTGCAAAAGGTGCCGGAAATTGGGGCACAACGCCGGCAAGTGTGGTGGGGTCAAGGTAGTACAGGCTCCTTTGAGGTCTGATACGAGACATGGGGAAGGGGACAACTCTGTCCAGCCAGTGAACAAAGGCCAGAGAGAAGGGAAAGAGCACGTGAAGGGGGGTTCTTGGCAAACAGTTCATTCCAAAAAAGATAAATCCAAGACAGGTAGTCACTGGCGTGTCAAAAACCCTAGTGTCATGCAAGCACATATGCAAACCTCCAATTGGAAAGATGGCCCAGGTGAATCATCTCTATCAGCTGGGGCTCACTCCCATGTGGTTATGGATGATAACAACCTTAATGGCCTTAATGACGATTCCAAGGTTGTTTTCAAGGGTTCCACTTACGCCATTAACGATCCAAACTTTCTTTGTTCCAATACCATGCGTCACCTTTTCCAGTACACCACACTCTCACCTATCCTGGAGGAAGTCCCACTTAATGAAGAGAGGTCCCTGGTGCCTTACAGGGGCTTTCGTGATGATCATGGGCTCTCCCTGGACGAGCATGACTTTGGTGGTGATACATGTAGGTTCTCTGATGGTGATATTACTGATAATGACCTTGAAGAGATTGATATGCAGTCCCCTCTTCCTAAGGGAATGGATGCTATCCTGGATACTCCCTTCCCCAAGTCCTCTTCTAAAGGTCGTACCCATGCCATGGTAACCAGAAAAATGTCCTCCAACAAATTTTCTCCCCTTATGTCTCCATGAATGGTCTCTTTTGGAATATTCGTGGTATTTTTTCTTCTCTTCCTAGGCTTCTTTCTCTCAAAAAGGATCATAAACTACTGTTTCTTTCTCTCTTGGAGCCTCTTCACAACCCTTCCCTCATCTTTGAATGTGCTACTTCTCTTGGCTATTCCAAATGTTTCAGTTCTCTCAACAACAAACTTTGGTTCTTTTGGGATGACTCTATCCTGGTTCTTCAGGTTCTTAAGGAAGAGCCACAAATCACGTTGTGTCTCTTCCTTCATGTGCCTACTCAAAAACAAATTTGGATCTCCTCGGTCTATGGGAAACACACTAGAGTGGATAGAATTGACCTCTGGGAATCTCTCAAAGCCCACAAAACCTCTGATACCCCTTGGCTTGTGGGAGGGGACTTTAATGCAATCACCTCTTATGAAGAACACAAAGGTAAAAGTACTCCTTACCACACTAGCATGGAGGATTTCATTGAAGCACTAGATTTTTGTGAACTTTCCTCTCCACCAGTATCTGGAGGAACATTCACCTGGTTTGGTAATAGATCAAAAGGCAGAGTTTTCAGAAGACTTGATAGAGTTCTCAACAATGAGAAACTCTTTGATCTATTCAGTGAAGTCTCTGTCAGGCATAAAGGGCGAGGCCTCTCAGATCATAAAGCTCTTTTGGTTCTTCTTAATAATCCGTTGCCTTCCTGCCCTAGGCCTTTCAGGTTCCTAGATGTTTGGACTTCTCACCCAGGCTTCAATCAATTGATTTCAGAAAACTGGGATAAATCCTATAAAGGAGGGGGAATGAAGGAACTAGCTGAAAGGCTACTGTCTACTAAGAAGATCTTGAAGAAGTGGAATGTGGTCACTTTTGGTGACATATTCAAAGGTGTTAGAGAAGCAGAAGCTAGAGCAATACTTGCTCAGGAAAAACTGGAAATTAATGACAGTGAAGAGGCTCTCCTGGAGGCCAATTTGGCAAATGCTCTCCTCACTCAAGCTTGCAAAAGAGAAGAGATTTTTTGGTCTCAAAAGGCCAACATCAAATGGATCAAGAATGGTGATGCTTCTACCAAATACTTTCATTCAGTGGTTAGGGCTAGGAGGCACTCCCTTAAAATCAACAATATCAAAAACATGCAAGGAGTAAACCTGTCTTCTGAGATTGACATCTCAAATGCAGCAGTTGATTATTTCAGTGATATCTTCCATTTCAAAACAGTTGAACACTTGGAGCAGGCACTAGAACACATCCTTCCTACTTTAGACAATAATGATAACCTGTCTCTGTCCAAAATCCCCGATGAGGAAGAGATCAGATCTTCCATTTGGAAGTTGTCTGCTTCTAGTGCTGCTGGTCCAGATGGCTTCAATGGAACTTTTTTCAGGCATTGCTGGAGCACCATACACCTTCATGTTACCAAAGCTGTCCAAGAGTATTTCATTGGTGTCCCTCTCCCTCAAACCTTTGGCAGTACCACCATCACACTTCTCCCTAAGAAGGACAGCTGCACTAACTTTAATGACTATAGGCCTATTTCTCTTTCAACCTTCTTTAGCAAGATCATCACCAGGATCATGAGTGACAGACTCAAACCCTTACTCCATAAAATCATTTCTGAAGAACAAGCAGCCTATCAAACAGGGAAGGGTATTGAGGAACACATTCTACTCACTAAGGAAATGGTTCACATGTTAGCTTCTGGTCACAGAGGGGGTAACATCATTATAAAACTGGATCTCTGCAAAGCCTTTGATACAATTAGTTGGACTTTTCTGGAAGCAATCCTCTCTAAATTTGGTTTCTCCCAGCATACCATTCTTTTGCTGATGGGGGTCCTCAAAGGAACCTGGTTCTCCATTCTTGTAAATGGATTTCCCAAGGGTTTTTTTCCAATGAAACGTGGGGTGAAGCAAGGAGATCCCCTCTCTCCTTTGCTCTTCATTATTGCTATGGAGGGTCTCAGCAAAAGCATTAAATCTAATATGACTTTGGGCTTCCTCAAGCCCTTCCACACAGGTCTGGTTGTTGCTCCTTCTCATCTCTTGTATGCAGATGACTTGATTATTTTCACTAATGGAGAGACTAGAAATCTTATCAAGGTTAAACACATCCTCTCATCTTTTATGAAAGCATCTGGTCAGAGTATTAATCTCTCCAAATCTCAAGTCATTGTTCATCATAAAATGCCTATTGACAGAAGATCTTGCATCTCTAAGATTCTTGGTATTAAAACCTCCTCTGGCAGTTTTAAATACTTAGGATCTTGCATAAGCAAAGGGAAGCTCAGAAAGAACCAAATGGGCAGATATGTGCTTATCAAACATGTGCTCTCAGCTATTCCTATGCATACACTTCTAGTTCAGGATCTTCCCAAATCTGTCATCAATAGTCTAAATAAAATTATGGCAAACTTCCTATGGGGGAGCAAGGAGGCAAAGAACAAACATCACTGCCGGAAATGGGCTGACCTTTGTTTCTCTCTTGAAGAAGGAGGTCTAGGATTCAGGAGCATTGAAGATATACAAGCTGCTGCTGCACTTCAACTTTGGTGGAAAGTACAACAAGGAGGAACTGTCTGGCGAAATTACATGAGAAACAAGTATATGAGGGATGGAGAATTCAAAGCCATGAGAATTGTTGAAAATGGCTATCTCTCCTTCCCCTTGTCCTTTCTGCCTTGGACACACTGCCACAATTGATCACTCTCTCATCCACTGTCCTAAGCTGCATGATATATGGGATGATTATGCATTCATCAGCAACGGGCCTGCTAGAAGACCTCCTCACAACCTTAGACAGCATTTGCTCAACTGGTGGATTAATTCGAATCTGAGTAGTCTTAAAGGAAAGCTCAGATTGATCATGCCGGGCATGCTTATTTGGCATTTCTGGAAGGCATATAACAGATGCATCCACGAAGGAAAACCTTTTTCTAAACAAATTGTTCGTTGTCAAATTAACAGGAGTCTACAAGCTTGGAGCTGGGCAAACAACGAAGACACAACTACTCTTTATTCAAATTATATTACTAGTTTTGGTTTGCATCGAAACCTACGGGTCAAAGCTCTTTAAGCTTGCACCCTTATTGTATGTTCCTTCTTTTGTTTATTTAATAAATGTCTCTTTAAAAAAAATAAAAAAAATAAAATATATATATATATATATATATATATATATATATATATATATATATATACATATATATATATATACATACTACATACATACATACATACATACATACATACATACATACATAGATATATATATATATATATATATATATATCAAATTCTTCAAACTTTGTTGTCCTCACAAGATCGAAGATCCTATACCGATTAGCAAACCTCTAACCAAAACTCAAAAGAAGAAGATGAAGAAGAAAAAGAAGCACTCTCATCTCTCCGACTACGATTTTGAGGATGAGATTGAATATGCTTATTGATTGTCCTGCAGTTTTAGTGATATTTGCATTCCCAGGTGTGCTAGCATAGCTGTGTTAGGAGACTACACTGCAGGTTACTCTAGTTTAGATTCATGCTCTTGTTCTTGGCTTGGTTTTGTCTCTGTTATGTTCTGGTCATTGCTTTGTTTTAGCTTATTGGTTGCCTTGAATGCTACTGGAGTGCACTTGGGTTTTTTTAAAGGCTTTTGAATGGTTAACATGGAAGGTGTTCTCCTTGGGAACTGCCATTTTTTGGCATGCGCTTGCTAAGGGCTAGTAAAGGGTTGCATGGAATAATGGTGATTTTGAAGTCTCCTCTTGATTTAGCTGGGTATTTGGTCATGAGGCTGCATGTTACACATAGAGCAACACGAGAGACGGTGAAAAGCATGGAAAAAGTGACCCTTGTCCAATTCAAAGATTCTAATACCCAGCATTCATTTCTTGTTCCAAAGCTGATGAAAGGCTTGTGGCAGATTTTCTAACGGGGGAGCAGGCTGAAGAGTCACAAACTTCAATTGGTTAAAGTTTCGAACCTATTGTCTATTTTCTTTTATGCATTCAAGGGGAAAGGAAAAAGAAGTCCTTGGTATTTGCTTTAACTTTTTTCTGTCTTAAGTAGCTCAAGGGAGGGTCACATGTAGCTGGTTACTCTTGCACCATTTCAGGGGCTTAGAGATTGGGTTTTTCAAGATTTATTTGAAGCTAAGACGCTCTGTCTCAAAGTGTGCCTAACGGTTCTGGTTAGAGAATGGGCTTCAGAGTTGGAGCAGTTAATCCAACAGTAAACATGAGCTTGTTTCTACATAAAATGTTGCTACTGGTGCTGCTTAATTTCTGCAGCAACGTTCATCACTTGTACTAGCAGGGTCCCAGCTTTGCTTTCAAGTTTTTGGACTTTTTCCTTTATAGACTGCAAAAATGTTGAATGGACGGTACTTTTGGTGGGATCTTTGGGTGTAATTATAAACTACACAAGGTGTGAATGGATGCACATGGCGAATTGGTTGCAGTTGGATGGGTGCATATCCAGCTACTCATTTATAATTTGTATCTGGCAGCTTATCCTTTTTAGTTTTGCTTCTTGGCAGCTTCCTCTTGTACTCCCTTTTCTGGTTTGGTTTTTCTTTTGGCTTGTTGTGGGGCTGGCCACCCCTCTTATCCTTTCTCTTTTTCTTTTAATAAAACTTTTCTTTAAATAATATATATATATATATATATATATATATATATATTATAGCCCGAAAATCCACCAAAATCAGTGGGGTAAGGTCCAAGCAACCCTTACCAATTATTATTAACAAAAACAATTAAAGTACACGTTCAGGGAGGATTAGACCAAAGCCCCGAAGGTAAACAAAAAACACACGTTCGGGGAGGACTAGACCGAAGCCCTGAAAGTAAAAAACAAAATAGAAAATGCAAGAAAGAAGTTAAATGAGCCAAATGTGCCCAGACCTGAAACTGGACCATCCTCGTGTCCTATTCTCTAGCGCCGTTATAGGGCACTGCCGGCTAAAGCTCCCCGCTTCGCAACAAGGAGTAGGTTACCCCTCCCCTCTTCTACACCAACTAACTCCAGTCCTTACTGTCTCAATTTGAAGCAGATTAGTTCTATTTTTCAATTCCATCCCAGACAAGAAAAAAAGATTGAAACCCAGGTCTACAAGTTGTTCATCTCTGATCATCCATTTTTTCCTTCTATTTTTCCAGCTCCAATCTCTGAGGGTTTGTAAGATGTCTGATTTCACCTTGTTGATGTTAATTGGATTGTTGTCATGGATGATTCTGTTGTATTCCTTCCAAAGTTGCCAAACAATGATCCCTGGTAGAATGCTACGAAGTTGTCCTTTAAGCGATTTTCTTCTGTGGGATAAGTTCCATTCCATGATATGTTGGTTTAGGGTAAGGTAATTTCTATGTCTTGGTCCATCAACTGCCTCTGCAAAGAATTTCCATAGTTTCATGCTCCAAGGGCATTGGAGGAAAACATGGTCAATGGTTTCTTCACTGTTCTTGCAGATGGGGCAGGCAGAGGCTAGTTGAAACCCCATTATTCTTAGATTATCTGGGAAAGGTAGAGAAGAGTTTAGAGCTCTCCAAAGGAAGAATTTAACCTTTGGGATTTGTGCCTTATTCCAGCAGTAAGAGTAGTTGAGTTGAGTAGGATTATAGGGTCTGCATATGTTGTAAGCCTTTTTAAGTGTAAAGTCCCCATCTTCCCAGGAGATTTGGTTGTCTACCCCTGTGGTATGCTCCCTGGCAGTGGTATTGATCCTGCATATTCTCTTCCAGGTCGGAGAATCATAAAGCCTTTCTTTGAAATCAGACCGACTAAGATATTTGGCTCTCATAAACCTAGCCCACATAGTGTTGTCAGTTTGAACGTTCCACCAAAGCTTGATAGAGTAGGCATCCTGAATATCATCAAGACTTCTCAGGTTAAGACCTCCTTCATTAGTTGGAACACAAAGGTTGATCCACTTGCTCCAATGGTATTTAGGTTTACCATTTTTGAAACCCCAAAGAAAATTAGCCATCTTTTTGTGGAGAGTCTGAATGATAGATTGAGGGATAATATGAACAGCAGTGATATGAAGAGGTATGGATGATAACACATGTTTGATCAACACAAGTCTCCCCATAGGATTAAGAGTGGTGCTATACCATGAGTTAAGGTATTTGTCAAAGTGGTTGAGCAGTTTGGAGCAATGATGTTTTCTAAGCTTGCCTTTGACCATTGTAGCACCAAGATATGTGAATGGTAGGTCCCCATGATCCATACCTAGGCTTCTGGCCATAGACCCTAATTTAGCTTGGTTTGCCTTTTTCCTGTGTAAAAGCTACTCTTGTTGAGATTAACTTGCTGCCCAGACCCTTGCTGATAGTCCTCTAGAATCCTTCTGAACTTTTTTAAGTTCCTAGTGTCCCCATTGAGAAAGATCACTAGATCATCTGCAAAGGCCAAATGACTGATCAAGGGATGATTACCTGTGTTGAAACTGCCCAGAGAGGAGGTATTCATATGAAATTTGATCATCCTTGAAAAGCACTCACTGCTAATTAGAAATAGAAGGGGTGAAAGAGGGTCCCCTTGTTTCACCCCTCTCTTCATTTGAAAAAAGCCAGCAGGTGATCCATTAATAAGAACTGAAAGATAGGAACCCACTAGATTGGCCATAAGAAGTTTTTGGGAGTGAGAGTTGAAGCCTAGTTGTCCCAGAATATTAATGAGATATCTCCAATCAAAGGCTTTGGCCATATCCAATTTGATAATGCAATTGTCTCCTCTGACCCCTATCAATCATATGAACCATCTCTTCAGCCAAAAGAATCTGTTCCTCAACACCCTTATTCTTTTGAAATCCTGTCTGCTCCTCTGATATGAATTTAGGTAGAAGGGTGGACAATCTTGTTGCCAGAATCTTGGTATTAATTTTGCTCATGAAGGATGAGAGGGATATGGGTCTGTAATCACCAAAATTTTTAGGATCTTCAATTTTAGGTATTAGTGTAATGAAAGTGCTACCAAAAAAATTTGGGAACTGGAAATCCCAAGAAAAATTCCTGACAGGCAAGTAATACATCCACCTTGATAATGTTCCAGCAGGTTCTAAAGAAAAATCCATTAAATCCATCCGGGCCAGCTGCACTGTCTGGGTTAAGGCTCATAATAGCTTTGTAAACATCTGCTTCATTGGGTAGAGTGGAGATCAATTGATTGTCCCTATCATCAACCACTTTATCAAGGTAGTTTGGAATAAGTGACTCCTCTGGCTGAGAGGCAGATGTGTAACAATTAGCAAAGTAGTGAATAGCCTCTTTGCTAATATCCTCCTGTGTGGTCAATATGTTGCCTTGATCATCTTGGATTGATTTGATAGAAAGTTTTCTCCTTCTGTTTTTAATAAAAGAGTGAAAAAATTTTGAGTTACAATCTCCTTCAGTCATCCACTTGATAGTCATCCACTTGATGTTGGCCTTTTGCTTCCAGTAGCTCACCTCTTTATTAAGACTAATAATCAGATTAGCTGAGGCTTGATGAGCAAGTGTTCTCTTGTCATCCGAAGGATCTGATTCATAATCTTCTTGAGCTCTGGCAGCTTTACGTTCATTATCCTTGACTTCCTGAAAAATGTTACCAAAATGATTCTTGTTCCAGTGAGTCAGAATAGGTTTTAAACCCTTAAGCTTGTGAGCTAAACCAGACATGCCCCCAGTTCTAGGGCTGTTCTCCCAATAGTTACTGACCACATCCAAGAAATTATGATGTTGAGTCCAGACATTAAGAAATCTGAATGGTTTGGGGCCCTGAAAACCATCAACTTTACATTGGATAAATAAAGGCTTATGATCAGAAGTAGTCTTGCTTGCTTAGATGGGTGAGATTGATATCATTGAAAGCCTCATTAGCAGATTGGTTATTGAGAACCCTGTCCAACCTTCTCCAGAGTTTCCCTTTACTTCTAGTGCCAGTCTAAGTAAAAATCCCTCCAGAGAAGGGTGCGGCAGTAAGGCCACAAGCCTCAATGCAATCATTAAACTCCTCCAAGTCCTTAAGGTTAGGGTCAGAGTAACCTTTATGTTCATCCAAGGAAAGAATGGTGTTGAAATCTCCACCCACAAACCAAGGGTGGTTAATAGGACTAGCCTTAATGAGATCATCCCAAAGAATTCTTCTGTTAATAGTAGAATGACCCCCATAGACAGAAGTAATTCTGAGATTTTTATTGATTGTTGTATTCCAAAAATTTGTATGAATGCACTGAGAGTCTTCTCTAAAACCTTGAAACTGAAGTGTACTGTCTTTCCAAAAAATCCACATTTTATTGTGAAGGCCACCAATAGAGAAAGAGAAGCCCAAAGAGGTTTTGTACCACTCTCTTTTCTTGTCAGCAACAATGGGTTCAATGATGCAAAGAAAATCAATAGGGTAAGAGGAATTAAGAGCTTTTAGCCTGTTAAGGGAGGAGGCTGCTCCACAAACATTCCAGAAAAGACAATTCATAATAACTTTTTATGAAGTCCTTCAAGAGACCTAGTTTTACTCCTAGTCATAATTGTCCTAGCAGCTGGAGATGGATCCTTATGAACTGCTTTAGGTATTTCAAGTTTAGGAGTATTTTTACTAGGAATGGAAATATCAAACAGTTGGAGCTCTGAATTGATCCAAATAACTGGTTCCTTCTCTCCTTCAGAGTGATAACCTGCTTCGTTGATGAAGTTCTCTTCACTTTCTCTGTCTGATTCTATACCCTCCAGTTCAATTGGTTGAACTTGATTCATATAGCTGTCATCCATGGATAAAAGAGGGAGTTTAATAGAGGGGGTACTGTGCAATATTGGAATATGACCTTCCCTTTCCTTAGTTGAAGTGTTGNTAACTGGTTCCTTCTCTCCTTCAGAGTGATAACCTGCTTCGTTGATGAAGTTCTCTTCACTTTCTCTGTCTGATTCTATACCCTCCAGTTCAATTGGTTGAACTTGATTCATATAGCTGTCATCCATGGATAAAAGAGGGAGTTTAATAGAGGGGGTACTGTGCAATATTGGAATATGACCTTCCCTTTCCTTAGTTGAAGTGTTGAGATTACTGTGATTAATCTCATCAATTTTTTTTGTAGAAATAATTTAGAAGCAAAAAGCTTCGCAGCAGAAAAGGTTGGGAAGTGATCCTGGACCTTGAAGATGGAGTGTATGCCCCAAGTGGGGGAGAGATATGAGTGGTCAGGTTCCTCTTGTAAGGGTGAGGGAGTAATAATAATTCTCTTACTCTGACCACATGATATTTCTGAGTTGACAGTTGCTGCATCAAAACCCACTTTAGTTTAGCTTGTTGTTGTTGTTGTTCATGTACTATGGGTTCAAGATTCCTCTATATCCTTTTGTACCACTGTTTTGGATTTGCATATAGGAACCCAAGCATGTTTGGATTTAGTGGATGTAGCCTGGCTCCTCTTGGATGTAGCACCCAATTTCCAGCCATCCCCTAAAGAGCCCACTAAGGATGTTGCCTGGCCCCTCTTGGGAATTTCCTTTCCCAATGTCCAGCCATCCCTCAAAATAACTTTAGAAGAAATAACCTTACCCTTCCAAGATTTACCCCAGGCACTGCCCTGTCCCACAGATACCTTGTGAGTTTTGAGTGAGTGTGTATCCTGGCCCTTCTTAGATTTAGCATCTAATATCCAGCCATCACTCCTCTTGGACCTATTCAAATTGGTATCTGTCCCCCTACGACCAGAAGCCTGCTTGTGAGAAATTTTTTTACTATTAACCATAATCCACCCTTCGGATTCTTTAACTTGGTCAAGAACAGATTTACCTTTAGATGAAACTGAACCCTGGAGAGTTCCATGAAGCTTGCAGAAATAATTACCACGACCAAGTTTATGGCACTTATGACAGAAACTTGGGACATTTTCAAACTTGCAAGGGAGAACTAAATCTCTAGGTCCAATTCTAATATGAATATTAGAAGGAAGAGGATTAGCAATGTCTGTTTCAATACAACACCTAGCTTCATTGGTTCTGATAAGATTAGCTATTTGGAAATCCATGAGTAAAGGCTGACCAATTGAACTGGTAATGGTAAATAAGGCCTCTGGAGTAATGAAGTGGGTGGGAAGGTTGCTGATAGTAGCCCATAAAGGAACAATAGAGCTATCTTTATGAGGACTATAATCAGTAGTCCATTTCGAAACATAAAACTTAATATTATTGATAATCCAGGTACCTCTAATGAAGAATCTCAGGTATTCTTCCTCTTTGTTGAAGATAAGAAGCACATCGTTGTTGATGAGTCTATGAAGCTTGAGCCCCCCTGGAAACCAGTCCCTTCAAGGAAGCTTTTGATAGTGATGAGGTTGATAAATCTGACTCCTCTTCCAACCAGGGCAAACTGCATCTTTCTTTCAAGTTTTCGCTCTTCATCCAGGGTGAAGGTGGCAGACGGCATACCATTGAATGAACCCTCTATCTTCCCCATGACTGTATTCCCATCCTCATGTAAAATTTGGCTGAATAATTTCTTAGCTTGAGGTAGAATGGACTGTTTGTGATTTGGATTGGTATTTGTAGTGTAAAATCTGTTATGGTGAGTAGCCGGAATTCTGCCGGGAAATCCATAGGATTCCGGCGATCTTCTCTCTCTAGGCATTTTTGAAAGAAAAAGCTATTATATATATATATATATATATATAGGGAGCAGTTCCAATGAGAATAGAGCTCAATGAAAGAAATAAGAATGAAACACATCCCTTAGAGCATGCGCAGCGGCGAGGCATTTCCTCGCTCACTGCGCCACATCAGCCAATTTGGAGAAATTGCCTCGCGTGGCTTAGCGTTCCTCCACGCCAAGCGTGTGAGGCGCGAAGCAGTCCAGGTTTTTTTTTTATTTTTTATTTTTATTTTTTTTGTAGAAGAAATAATTTTTTTAAAAAAGAGTACATCTATTTAAAAAAAGATAAATGAAATAATTTTTAATAATTAAAATGCATTAAAAAATCATAAAAATTAACAAAAACAGTTACTTGCCACTGCACGAGATGTCACTCTACTCACTTGTCACACGCTGATTGGATTGTTTTTTATTGGTTGAAATGTGCCATGTCAACGTGTGGCATTCCATTTCGTTACTTGCCATTGCCCGTGCTCTTAGATTAGATGCATCCGATGGCTATTATTTAGTATGGATGTGGCAATTCAAAAACAATATAAAAGGGAAGTAATAATAATAGTGCGTCAATGTAGGGATAGATTAGTTCATAAGGGCATATTAGTATTTTTGAAATACGGAGTACATAAAAGTCGTACTCCCTTTTTTTAATGCAAATGATCATTACTAATGATTATACTAAAATAATAATTTCATTTTATTTAATTATTACTACCTCCGTCCCAGAGTATTTGTCCACTTTCATTTTTACACACCATCAAATTCACTTCTTTAATCCATTTTATATTATAATTTGTATACTAAAAAATTATAGAAATTATATATTAATAATCTATATGTTAAGACAAATCAAACAAGATCACACATGACTATATTTAGGCTTACACATTGAGAGAGTTTGATGAGTCAAAGTGCTTAGATAACAATTCCAAAAGTCAAAACTGGACGAATACTACGGGACGGAGGGAGTATCATGTACTGTGCATCAAGCTTCTATACACAAGTCCATTTTTGACAAATTATATGCAACGGAAAATAACAAGAATCTCAAGATATCCAACAAAAACCAATATCGAATGTAAGATTTTGAAACAATTATATCTTCACTGATTTCAAAAATAAAAATAAAGTATATTACATTGTTTCTCTAATATTAATAAATCATTTTTAGCCATTTTCATTGGAGATGCACTGTGATATCCACCATTTTAGATCCAATGTGAATGCTTTGCGATGAGTGATATATGCACTTTCATTTTTTGTTTATATTTAAATTAAATTTTATTCTATTAATTTATGGATTAGTGAATAATGACTTCTAAGTGACTTTAAATGTGATGAGAGAACTCAATAATGTATTGTATTTATTACAATTATAATAGAAATTCAAGAACTAGTTTGCCTATGCGGGATTCGAACCCACATCTGTAATACATACCGCTCTACCATTTGAGCTAACAGGCAATATTTTTTGTTTAAAGGGATTCTCATCTTACACCTACACATTGAATACGCATTTTAATGCTTTAAAATTTGCATTATTCAACCCGTATACCATATATAACACAACATTTTAAATGCATCATCAATTTCAAAAACTTTCACCTTGATTTTTAGAATGCAGAGTAACAAATGTTTTTTATCCTTTAACATTTTTACAATGCATTGTCTTCTCATGTAAATGCATCATGTTGACGTTAATAATGCACAATAACATAAACTATATATATGTATACTTTGTTCATTAAACTTTAACAAGTTTTAACTAGAATTAAAAGTCATGCCATTTCTTTTTAGCAAATGAAAATTTGCAATTAAATCAAGCTTTGGTTGAAAGTTTACCACACATTTATACACGTGCATAAAATTCACTTATTTAGTGTATTCATTACTGGCTATAACCAATAGCACACTCAAGAAATAACATTATGTAATTACAATGTTTTGAAATTAATTAGCTTAAAGATCTAAATTTTTACTCTGTATACCTTAGTCAAAATGCACCAGATAAAGTCATGGATGCATAACTACTGTGTTTAAGATCGCCATCACTGTCCATCATTTGTTTCAATACAATTCTCTAACAATGCATCATGCACATTCTTTACTGCAATCTATATCAAATCTCAAATTCTTACCTTTTAAGCTATCATGTGTGAAAAATTTAATGTATTTACTTGATATTTAAGTGTGTGTAACTTGTACTATGAACAAGAAGTAAAAAAGCATCTACATCATGTCACCAATTATGGGTTTCGTAATGACTAGAAAAAATTGGCAGTGGCATCATAAAGATTAATAAAACTGGCAGTTCCACAACACTAGTTAAGTGGAGTTGTTGCACATAAATTAATAATGCATTGTCTTCTTGTTTTTAAGCATCCTCATCTTATACAATTGCAACATCTTTTTATTCACTCGCACTAGCATGTTGTTAAATTTTTTCCTCATGTAACGATACTGCATCCTAGACTATAATTACATCACAATAAAAGAACTCATATTGCATTTCAAAAGAACCACTTTCAAATTTCAAATCTGTCATGTTGCATATCAATAAACATATATAAGCAAAATCATGGAAAAATAAAACATAAATAATATCATGGCAAAATCAAACATAAGCAGAATCAGTGCAAAATCCATGAGAGTGCAGAGCAACAAATGCTTTTCTCAATTTTTTTCTGAAAAAAATATATTTGAAAGGAAATGAGAGTTATAGATTACAACTCTAAATTAGTGAGTACAATTATATATATATATATATATATATATATATATATATATATATATATATATATATATATATATGCAGAATGCAGAGCAACAAATGCTTTTCTCAATTTTTTTCAGAAAAAAATATATTTGAAAGGAAATGAGAGTTATAGATTACAACTCTAAATTAGTGAGTACAATTTTATATATATATATATATATATATATATATATATATATATATATATATATATATATATATATATATGTTGAAACACGGGTTTATCACATTTTCGTACTAAAGCCGTGTTCGTTTTTATGACAGGTTTTGATAATGCCAAACCGCCGTGAACGAGACAAGTTATTGAATATACAAGGCGAGAAATAAATATAAGAAGAAAGCAAGAGAACAAGACCCAAAAGAAGACCAAGAACGAAGACCTTAGTCTTAGTGTCGTTGAGTCGGTCTTCGTTGTGATCAAGACCGACCCAATCTTTACACCTTGGCTCTTTAGGCTAAAACCCTTCATTGCATTTCTTAAATCATAAAAATGTTTTTCAAACTTGTTTAAAACATTAAAAACACTTTGTGTTCGCCCAAACCAAAAACCAAGCCATCCGGCGTTCGGGTTTCAGAAACCAGCATTCGGCATTCGGTTTTCGGCGTTGGTTTTTGGCGTCCGAACCAACCAAGTGGCTTTCAACTTTTTATGATTGGTTTTCACTCTTTGGCATGTTTAAACGGTTCTCCAACAAAAACACCGCTTTTGGTCGTTTGACAAAAATCATTCAAAACGGCATAAACTTGGCTAGCCGTGGTTTTCACTCAAATGACGTGGTTTTTAAAGTGTCTTACTTGATTTCTAAGCCAAATACATCAAATAAGTGTTTTAAACACTTGGTTTTTATTTTGGAGAACTTTGAATTTTTTCGGTCGGTTTTTGCACCGGTTGGCTAGGCCGTGGTTAAGCCAAAAACCATGGGTTCTTGACTAACCATCCACCCAGTGATGGGAAGATCTTCCCATCGATGGGTAAGCGGTCCCTTAGCCAAACCAATTTCCAGAACCATGCCAAACAGCGATGGGAAGTTCTACCCATCGCTGTTCAAGCCTTGGTGCAAAATCACCACAAGGCAGAACGACCTTGCCCAGCGATGGGAAGCCTATCCCATCGATGGGAACCCAGCGATGGTAAGGGTAATGGTAGCTACCCTTCCGTACTGGCAACCACCAGTAATTTCCAACTAAGAAAGGAACAAACCTTCAGTTGGAGGGTGGGTCGCTACCCTTCGAACATGGGTAGCTACCCATCCACTGGCAACTGTTCAAAACTGAAGGAAAATTGGCTTACCAGCGATGGTTGAGTCCAAACATCGATGGGAAGCCAATATTCTGCAGATCCCAAATCTTTTCAATCCCATAAATCAAGCCAATCACCCCTTTAATGCATTCGTCCGTTGGAGCCTATTTTGGCACTATAAAAAGGGGTGTTTGGATCTGCTTTTCTCACCAATTCACTTCACAATATTCATATTATCATTGCATCCAAACTACATTATTTTCCATAGCTTTCTAGAGCCAATTTGTGTGAAGTTTGAGTTGTTCTTGAGCGTATATATTTTACTCATATCCACTCTTAAGGAGAGTCTTGTTCTTGAGTGTCTTAGTGTTGTATACACGTTAAGGGAAGCTTGTTTCCCTTGGTTGTACGAAGGAAAGGTATTTTCCTTCGGTTTGAAGTCTTGGAGTGCGGTATCTCCGAGCAAATGTTGTTGAGGCTCGTGGGACTCGAGTTCTCAGGTTGTAACGGTTTGTTAAGCACCCGTAAGCTCAACGGAAGTAGTGTAGCTCGAGAGAGTCTCTCGGGAGACTGGATTAGCCACACGTTGTGGTGAACCAGTATAAATCTTGGTGTGCTCCCTTTACGCTTTCTACGCTCTTTATTTTTCACGTTCTTAATTTTTTATTCCTGCGATTTCTACGATCAAACGCTATTCACCCCCCCTCTAGCGTTGGTCACTTATTCTAACAATATATATATATATATACACAGTAAGTCTAAAATGACACCAGTGCTACTAGTGTCATTTGCTTACAGCAGTTTGTTTGGGATACCTACGGTGCTCCGTTTGTAAAAACGACGGTTCCTACCCCCCC